CCCCAAAACCCCAAAACCCCAAAACCCCAAAACCCCATTTGGAGGTGACTAGATTGAAAGAGAATTTGAGAAAATACCTCAAAATCGTAATTTTTTGGATTATCTTTTGATGATGGTTAGATCTGTGGTCATTGCTTCGTCTATGATTATTTTATCGACGGAAATTTTTGGGAATGTTTTGAAGATGTCGTAGAGGACCTCTTCGGAGTACTTATTGATGAATTGGCGTATTTCTTTATAAAAAAGGAGCTTATGAAGAAATTCCATGCATTGTTCATCTGACTCAGAATATCTACTATCAATTTCGATGATACAACGTAAATACATCGGACATCTCTTAGAGTTAGTACTCCAGTTATCGTTATGTCTATATATACTAAGTTTGTTTGGATCATCTTGGGTCCCTTCTTTGTCGCAATCATTTTCATCTAGGCCACAAACATAGCACCACTTTGTATTACATTTAGGACAAGTGATATGAGCACAAGAATCGTCTTTTATTCCTCTCAAACCTCATCTTGGGCATGGTCTTGAATTTTGAGCATCAATGCATCTTTCCCATTCGTCTTTAACATCTTTATTTGCTTAAGCATGTGAGATGTTTGGAGATCCCATCTGACCCTAAGACTAATTCTGCATGCTGTTCTTGACTAAGAACTTCTTCATCAGGAATCTATAAAATTCATTAAAACAGCAAGAAATGGCAATTTAGAAAATGGTTTGGTGAATCTTACCTGATAAAATTCTTGACAGATTATATACAGCTGCCTTTTTTGCAATCTTCCTTTTGGCAGATAAAGAAAGGGCACTCTAGTTCACTCCAATTCAGAATTTCTTTATAGCCGCAGCTGCTTGGACACGAATGAATCCGATACTTCTTAGAGTCAAGAGTCACAAATTTTGAGTAGATTTCGTATGTGTGCTTCTGGTCGTCGTCAAGATGCTTTTCAATCTGGCTCTCCTCTATGGGAATATTACATACACAACATTTGAAGGGGAGATCTACTTCAAGACTATGTAATTTTGATATTATGAAATTGTCTGCTCATTCACTGCAAATAAAATGCTTGTTCTGGCATATGATGCTTAATTCATCAGGTTCTTCTTCTTCTTCTAAGCATACCTGGCATTTTCGTTTTTCCATTAATTTTTATACTGATGTTCTACGTTTGGTTTTTTATTCGGGGTTTTGGGGTTTTGGGGTTTTGGGGTTTTGGGGTTTTGGGG